TGCCTTTCCTCTATTAATCCTATTTATCCTGTATATAACTAGCTTGCTTGTAAACTTTTGCATGAGATTGTAAGGCCCTTAAGGGAAAGAACTGTCTTTTGCTTTATCTTGTATCCTCAGCACTTAACCAAGTACCTGACGTGTTGTTCAGTTGTTTTTCAGTGGAATTTGACTCTCCATGACCCAATTAGGGATTTTATTGTCAAAGATACTGAAGTGGTTTGCCTTTTCCTTCTCCAACTCATTTTACAGGTGAGGAAACTGAGACGAACAGGGATAAGTGACTTGCCCAGGGTCACAGTGCTAGTAAGTAGCTGAGGCCAAATTTGAACTCAGGAAGGTGAGTCTTCCTGATTCCAGGCCCAGCACTCTATCCACTGTGCTACCTAATTCCCTGATATACAGTAGATGCTTAATAAATGTTTATTGATTAGTTCATTGATATATGACAGATTATACTCTATTGTAATTGTTGCCCTTTATACTCAGGGCATCATTGCTGGAGAATAATCATCATAGAGAAGTGGTTAAAAAAAAAATACAGGTGGGCCAACACTATAGTTCTGTGTTTGTAAATTTAATTTTTTTAACCCTATTATAAAATCCAGGGGCTAGAAGGGCCCTTGAGAAGATCTTTAATCTCTCCTTTTGCCTTTAGACTGAACCACAATTAAGGGATTCCAGTATCCATGCCTTAAGAAGGCTCTGAAAGAAAGGCATAAACATACTAACTCACATTCATGACCATTTTGTGGTTTACAAAGACCTTTTCCCATAATAAATCAATGATAATAGTGCAAGTAATATTACCACCACTTCACAAATTAAAACATGCTCTTGGTTATACATCCCAGATCTTTTGGCACCAAGTCCTGGGCTTTCCCCCTCACTGCCTGGGAGGTACACACACTCCCCATCTTTTGAACATCTGACTTACAAACACACCATACATGAAAATAGTTGGCCCGCAGTACAGTAGGATGGGCGCCTTTCAGAGCATTGGTGGAGTAGATGTGTCATCCAAAGCATTGTATCTTTTTTGTGCATCAGGCTGGGTGGCCATCTCCTTGACTACAGTGAGAAAAGTAAAAGAGGGAAAAGAGATATGCTTTCACATCCCTTTCCCTTTTTGTACATACTTCCTCCTAGAAACTATGGTATAAACAATATTGATAGGATCATGTGCTTGGAGCTAGAGGGATCATCTACCACCTCTTCCTACAAGGGAGGAAAAAGTCTCAGAAAGGTCACAACTTGCTCAAGATCATTCAGGTTCCAAGTAGAAAAACCAGGACCTTAACCTAATTTTTTTCTCACTGGAAGAAAGGAAGGAAACAAGCATTTATTTAGTGTCTGCTATGTGCCAGGCACTCTGCTAAGTGCTTTATAATTATTATCTCATTTGATCCTTACAACAACTCTAAGGTGTAGTTGGTGTTATTATCCCTATTTTATACTTAAGGAAATTGAGGCAGACAGTGGTTAGGTGACTTGCCCAGGATCACACAGCCCAGTAAGTATCTGAGGCTGGATTTGGACTCAGGTTGTCATGGCTCAGATCCAGCATTCTATCCACTGCACTACCTTGCAGCTTCAGAACATTAGCAAATGTATGGATTAGGCAAGGCTTCAAAGAAAGGCCACATGAGCTGAGGCTGGAAATGAGGATTCTAAAAGTTAGAAAGGAGAAGGAAAAGTATTTCAGGGATGAGGAATTGCTCATGCAAATGTGATCAATGTGATGTCAAATTTGAGGAATAGTCAATATAGTGGGAACAGAGGATAGTGTATAAAGTGGAGAATTGGGAAATTAACCTGAAAAGGTGGGTTGGAATCAGTTGTGGAGGAAACTAAGTGCAAAATTCAGTTTTTGGTGTTTTGTCCTAGAAGCCAAAGCATTTCTGAAGGCTTTCAAACATGCACAAACCTAAACCTTAGGAGTATCATTGTGGTGGCTGTATGAAGGATGGTTTGGAGGTGGGGAAGAGGCTAGAAGCAGAAAGAACAAACAGGATACTCTTACCACCTGAAGTAGGGTAGGGGCTGTATGAGCTTTGGCATCTTTCTTTTGTTTTTAATTGTGGTTGTACCCAGACCTGCATACAACATTCTTTGAATCTACAATGTAGCTGAAATATTACTACTTCCATTATTGAAATGTTGCTGTTGCTGTTCAGTCATTTTTAGTTATGTTCAACTCTTCATGACTCCATTTGGGGTTTTCTTGGAAAAAATACAGGAGTGGTTTGCCATCTCCTTCTCCAACTCATTTTACAGATGAGAAAACTGAGGTGAACAGGATTAAGTGACTTGCCCAGGGTCACACAACTAGTAAGTGTTTGAGGCTGGCTAGGCCATTGCCAGTCATCTTGATACCACTGACTCAGACAACCCTGGAGAAGAACTTTGCACAGCTCTGACTCACTTAAATCATTCCCTCGCAAGTCAAAGTATCACCCTCCTGGTGTCATTGGTCCTCTTCGACAATTGAAGGATCAACAAGAATAACAATCTGGGGCTGGATTTGAACTCAGGTCTTCCTGACTCCAAGAAAGCTAAATTCTCCACTTAAGTTCTCTTTCATCATTTCTTGTACTTCTATATTTAAGCCAGAGTCTAAACAAACAAACAAACAAAAAACCAAGAAATTAAAGATTTTTTTTGTTCAATTCCCCCATCACAGTGGAGAGGTGAGCCTGGGTTCTCAAAGGATAGGCCCACAGGTCCTACAAAGTGAGGAAAACTTCAGGTTTGGACCTATGGACTAATGAGCTAAGGACTCACCTAGCTAAGTCTAAAGAGCCTGATCACCAGGAAGTCGGTCACCACATTATAATTGCTTTTTTGGTCAAATCAATTCATGAAAATGTCTTACAGGGAAGTGCCACAGTTTGGTGGTGGAGGGAGTAACCATATTGTTGAAATATGGATCTTTCAAAGTGTTGAAATATTTGAAATATAGGTGAAATAAGGTTTTGTGAGCCGGCTAGTCTGGGAACCTAGCTGCAGTTTATAATTGGAGAAAATAAACACTTGGTTTCAGATAACTAACTTCCATATGAGTTCTATTTCTAGAATATAGAAACCTGGATTCATAGTTCAAAGCAGGGGAAGAGAGTAATGTATGCAAGAAGGAGAGGATGAAGAAGTCATGGTGGCCATTTCAAATCCTAAGACTTTCTTTACACAGGTTTCTAGTTATAGGGATTCAGCATTATGGATAGATGTTCTCAAAGACCTACTATGAAAACATCCAACTATACTGTTACTTGCAGCCTTATTCATATTCAGTATTTATTAGGCCTTTATTGTGTAGAATATTTTGCTGGATACTGGCAAATATGAAAAGCTTAGATAAGCCAAGACAATCCCTGCCCTCAAAGAGCCTTATTGTTGAGTCACTTTCAGTTGTGTCTGATTCTTCATGACCCCATTTGGGTTTTCTTGGCAAAGATACTGGCTATTTTCTTCTCTAGCTTATTTTACAGATGAGAAAAATAAGGCAAACAGGGTTAAGTGATTTGCCCAGGGTCACCTAGATAGTAAGCATCTGAGGCCAGATTTGAACTCAGGAAGAGGAGTCTTCCTGACTTCAGGCCCAGCACTCTATCCACTGGACTACCTAGCTGCCCCCTCAAAGAGCTTACAGTCTATTAATGAGATAACTTATATGCGATGTTAACAGCTGAGTGCTTTACAAAGGTAGAAGGGGGAGGAAGGATATTGCTATATAAAGTCTAATGGGGAAAAGTTGTTACTCTTTGGGAGGACCAGAGAAGGTTTCATGAAGGAAGGGACATTTGAACTAGGTTTTAAAGTATAAACAAGAATTCAAGAAGCAAAGAAAAGTTTTCAGTTATAAAAAACTAAACCAGAATGCAACAGGCAAAGAAGAGATTTCGATTATAATAAACTGAACCACACCTCCCAACACTGCCTCTTTACCTCCTCTGACCCACACAAATCATTCCTCTTGCCTGTGGTACCCAGTCTGACACCTCCTGGCACTCCAAACATAAAGTTCTTAACACTCCAAATTACTACAATGACCCAATCCTGTTGATGGTCATTTATGGCCATCTCCTTGAAAAATGCCATAAAATTACCTAATCACATAACAGATAATCTTGTTTATTGGATATCTCTTCCAAAGCACAGATTTGCTAATAGTTTCTCTCGAGGATTTGTTTCCTTGGATACATCTTCTACCCAACTCCTAGCAATGTGCTGTACAAATACGCAGACTGCCAGAGTTTCAGTCCCAGATGTGTGTGATATGTATGGCTCTTTTGAAGATTGTTTGGGGAAAGGAAAGTTTGCTCTGAAAGATTTCTTAAATCCTTTATTGCTTCATTTTAGAAGATCCTGATTGAGCAATAGCAAAAGGGTTATTTAGAGACAGTAGATGGAACAGATAGGATGGCTAGACGAGCCTTTTATCCTTGCTGGCAGTTGCAATTACTTCTTTAATGCAAGCAACCAAAATGGGTAGTCCTAGGCATAGGCAGCATCCAGGCTATGGACTCAGTAGGTTAGGCTGGAATGGTCAAAATGAGATTTAAGATTCCATCAGTAGCACTTCTGTTTTCCCAGATTACCTAGCAACTTACCTACCATAAGTAAGGGCATCATGGGAATATCTGCTGATCTATTTCTAAGGTGATCATTTTTTTCCCTCAAATTTGTCCATTGTGGCTCCATTCTCCCCTGTCTTGTAAAAATTAGAAGCTATAAAGTATAGAAAGAAACATGCATTTGGGATATAGCCACTGTGTGGATTTGTTTTGCTTGACTATGCTTAGTTGTTCTAAGGGGATTTCCTCTCCCCTTTCTCTCAGTTTCTACTTGAAGGGAGTGAGGAAGAGGGAAAAGAGGAATAGGGAGACCAAAAATAAGAAAGCCATGGAAACATTCTTTAAAAATTCAGCAGACAAGAACAGATAGAAGTTCAGAAAGAAGCACAGACAACCAGGAGAATTTTGAAAGCAACGCATAGAATTTATTATATACTTTTAAAAAGAGAGAGAGAGAGAGAAACGAGGGATATGAAATGAAGATTCACAATCTGAGTCTGATTTTGATCTGTTGGATGTTGTGAAATATATTTGTGCTATTCTATTATTATCTTACTTACTATACTCCCACATCTGGAGTTTTTCTGCCTCAGGAGATAGTCTTTCATCCCTTGTTTCTTATTAGACCTTGGTTTGAATTCAGAGCTACAAAAACTGTCCTAAGAGGGAAAAAAAGTCCTTAATTATCGAGGGTAAAGTATGGTATTTCTCATGTTGCATGCTTCTCCTCTTCCTCTTGCTGGAAAGGCATTATGGTATATTGTAAAGAAAGCACAGTCTCAAGGGTCAGAGGACCTGGGATTCAAATTCAGCCTCTGTCCTAACTACCTATTGTAACCTTAGGTAAGTCATCTTACTTCTCTGGGCTTCAGTTTACTTATCTGTTAAATGGGGAAATTGGATAGATATAGTCCCTTCTGGCTTAAAAATCTATGACCATCAAGTAATACCTTTTTACCATTTTATATCTCCTTAGTAGCCGGTCCACTAGGTCATAAGTTTAAGTGAGGAGGAAGAAGGTAGTTCTTAGTAATTTGCAAGAGGCTTTTAATTCCACTTCTCTCCGTCATAATTGATAGTTCGCTCAACTGCCAAAGGACTCGTTTATATATGGATCACAGCATCTCCATCCTGACCTATAAAGGAAGAAAGGTTAAGCACCAAATTGTAATGGAAAGAGCCCTGGATTTAGAGCCAGAAGTCCTGCATTAGAATCCCAGCTCCTAATTTTTCATATTTATATTTGTATTACCAACAGTGCCTAATACATAGTCAGTGTTTAATAAATGATTGTCAATAGATTGCCTTTGTGACCTTATGACTTTGAGTAAGTTTCTTTTCTCAAAGTCTCCATTACCTTATCTGTAAAATGAAAGAGTTGGGAAAATAAGAATAAAATAAAGCTGATGACTGTCATTATAAGACTGTCCAAGGGGGCACAGTGGATAGAGCACTGGCCCTGAAGTCAGGAGGACCTGAGTTCAAATCTGGCCTCAGACCAAACACTTGACACTTACTAGCTGTGTGACCCTAGGCAAGTCACTTAACCCTAATTGCCTAAAAAAAAAGTAAAAAAAAAAAAAAAGACCATCCAACCTTGGCCCCAGGAGAAAAGATGAGGGTATACACCTCTCTTCTTCTGTTGGAGTGGTGAGGAATTCTGGGTATGTAACATTGCATACATTGTCAAAGAGGGTTGATACATTGTCTGGTTTTGCTCAATTCTGTTTCTTTATTACAAAGGAGAATTCATTTTGTTAGAAAGGAATGGTTGGGGAAGACAGGTTATATTTGGAAATGACTACAATGTGGAAAAAAACAAAAGGCATCAATAAAATAGGTTAATAAAATAAATGAGTGCCTTGGACTAAATGATGCCTAAGTTCATCCTATGATTTAAGGGAGTTTTGATGACAGGAGGAGGTCCAGTAAAAATCCAGAGGTTAGGGTCCCACCCAGGGAGGGCAGAACTCTCTGGGAAGCTGCAGCAAGGTGTAGGAGGCAGCTTAAAGATACAAGCACCTAGCAGGTGAGGGGAAGGGGACAGGGTCCCAAATATAGACAGCCCATTTCACAATTTTGCCAAGGGCTCTCCCTGAGCACAGTTCATTTGCTATCTAAATCTCATGATATAGGTGAAACGTTAAAATGGTAACTTTGTTGTTGTTAATCCTTCATCCTAGAAGGGGACCAATGACATCAGGAGGGTGATGTCTTGACTTGCAAGTGACTTGGATTTAAGTGTGACAGAGCTGTGCAGTCATCAGCCTCACCCTCTCCGCCATGGTCATCTGAGTTCAGTGGCAAGACATAGGTCAAGATGACTGGAGATGACCCCAGATGTAGTTCTAACACTATACAGAGGAACTAGGAAATCTTTAGCTTATTTGCTTTTGAAAAAGCATCCAAAAATGAGATTACAAGTTACTGTCCAAGTCAGTAATGATACCTAAACCTGATTCAAGGAAGAATAGTAATTAATAGGATGGATTGTCTCGATAGGGAATTCAATGATTTCTAAAGGTGTTTCTATAGGAAATAAGTGTTTCTTAGGAAATTCATTTGCAATAGCTTATTTCAGCATACTGTCCCTTCTCCCTCTCCCCATCCCCAAACTTTTAGCAAATAGTTTGCCATTAAAAGGGAGTGAAAGGAAATTAGAGACAAGGGACTCAACCTGCGATTTCACTAATAGAGGGAACTCCCTGTGTGAGGAGGCTCCCTCTCCCAAAGCAGATCATCTCCTCCTCTTCTCTAAGAGCTTAAGAAACTTGCTCAGTCTGACACAGCCAATGTATCAGGGTCAGAATTCAGTCTATGTCTTCCTGGCTGCAAGGCCAGATCACTATCCACTACACCACTCTATAAATAAATTACTGCCTCTTCAACCAGAAGAAAAGTAGTACTGGAGAATGTAGAATATTGAACTGGAAGTCAGGAAAACCCAGGGTTCCAGTCCTGTCTCATACACTTATCTGCTCTGTAGTCCTGGGTAGGTCACCTACCCTCTCTAGATTTCCATTTCTAAAATAGTGACAATAATACCTATACTGACTGCCTCATGGGATTGTTCTGAGGTTCACATAAGATAATGTATAAAAAGCACTTTATAAAAACCTAAAGCCTAGATAAATGTCATATAGAAATTACATCATCTCTGGTAGAACCACTGAGGGCCTGATGAGAGCAGTTGAAGAGATGCAAACCGAAGTTATTTGTATTTCCTGTGGGCAAACAGGGTCTTTCCCACCTCTGCAGCTGCTTTTACCAAGTCTTCAGAATCTACCACTGCTTACATGCAGCAGGCAGGCAGCCAAGAGATAAATTATTATGGGGGTGGAAAATCACATAATTTCTTTTCAAAACTCATATAAGGAGGAAGGAAGGAAAATAGTAAATGTGGCATTTGTTCTTCTTTTGTTTTGATCCACTCTTCAGACACCCCCACATCCTTTATTTTCTCATTGGTGAGTTGCTCCCAGAACTTCCTTTTTGAGAAAGGGCCCAGACCCAGCCATCCTCCATTCTGCGGACCTAGCCACCATACACCAAAGTGAATACATTCCCTCCCACCCCACTTTTAAGTCCCTTTTATGTACTGTCTTCCTGGATTAGAATGTAAGCTCCTTGACCACAGGGACTGTTTTTTCTTTTGTTTGTGTTTGTATTTGTATCCCCAGTGCTTTTCATAGCTCCTGGCCTGTGGTAAGTGCTTAAAAAATACTGGTTGACTTGACTTCACTTTGGTCTTGATAGGAACACCCCAATGCCCAGTCTATGCATGATTCTGACTATAGTCACCCAACAAGCATGAAAGGCAATATGGGGAACTCAATAAACTGCAGAATTTTGAATTAGGAAGACCTGAGTTCAAATTCTACCTTGGACACTTCCTAGCAAAGTCATTTAGGCCTTTGTCACCACAAATTTCTTCATGTGTAAACTGGGTACTCAGGAAGACCTGAGTTCAAATCTGGCCTAAGACAGACTAATCGCGTGAGCCTGGACAAGTCACTTAACACTGTTTACTTCATTTTCTTCATCTGTAAAAATGAGCTGGAGAAGGAAATGGAAAATCACTCCAATATCTATTTTTTTTTATTTTAGCAATTTCATTTAAAGTTTGTTCCAAATTCTATCCCTTCCTCCAACTCCCTCCCCCAGACAGTAAGCAGATATAGGTTTTACATGTGCAGTTATGTAAAACAAAATGTACAAGAAGACTAGAATTAAAGAAAAAAAAGACAGTGAAAAATCGCACACTTCAGTCTGTATTCAAACAATATCCGTTCTTTCTCTGAAGGCAGATAGTATGCTTCATCATTAGTCCTTTGGGATTGTCTTGAATCATTATGTTAGTCAGAATAACTAAGTCATTCACAGTTCTTCATTGTATAATATTGTTGTTACTGTGCACAACATTTTCCTGGTTCTGCTCACTTCACTTTGCATCAGTTCATGTAAATCTTTCCAGATTTTTCTGAAATCATCCTGCTTGTCATTTCTTATAGCAAAATAATATTACATTACAATTATATACCATAATTTGTTTAGCCATTCCCCAATTGATGGACATCCTTTTGATTTCCAATTCTTAGCCACCACAAAAAGAGTTGATATAAATATTTTTTGTAAAAATAAGTCCTTTTCCCTTTTTTGGGGATGTTTTTGGGATATAAACCTAGCAGTGGGATTGCTGGATCACAGGTTTCCAATATCTTTGCCAATAAAACCCCAAATGATGTCAGAAAGAGTCAGACTGAAACAAATGAACAATTGAAAAAAAATAAATACTCATCCACAAGATTGTTGGGAGCGGGGGGGAGGAAAGATACTGCATGTAAAATGTTTTGCAAATTTAAAAGTGAGAGGTGCATATCTACTGTTCTTATTCATTAAAGTGCCTCCTTCATGCTAGGCACTTTAGACAAATATATAGACAAAATTCAGTGTGAAGCAATGAAAAATGTACAAGATTTTAAATCAGAAGACAAGGTTTCGAATCCAGGCTCTTACTCTGCAGCCTTGGGCACAGGTTAAAAGTAACCTCTCTGTGATTCAGTTTTTTTCATCTATAAAATGAGGGGATTTTACCAGATAACCTCTACAATCCCTTCCAACTCTAAATGCATAATCCTATGAAAAATAGTCCCTACCCTCACAAAGCTTACTGTCTACCACAGTTGTAGTAAAAGAATACAACTTAAGTAAAACATGGTATAAAACCCCACATTTTTTAAACAATTCCATTCCACAGACACTAATGGACTCTATCTAAATAAGCAGGAGGGTTATTGCAACAAACAACAATAAAATGTTGTATTATTTGTAATAATACAAATGTATTATTTATCATTTTCAAAGAGTATGTTGAACAATGCAATATAAGTTGCAATAACCAAAGAGAGTCCAAATGTTGCATCATTCATTAAAAGGCACCATGTAGAGGCAGCTAGGTGGCGCAGTGGATAGAGCACTGGTCCTGAAGTCAGGAGGACCTGAGTTCATATCCGGCCTCAAACACTTGACACTTACTAGCTGTGTGACCCTGGGCAAGACACTTAGCCCCAATTGCCTAAAAAAAAAAAAAAAAGGCCCCATGTTTAAAAAAAAAAAAAAAAAAGAACCACAAGTTGGTTCGCTGGTTGTGCAGGTGCCAAAATCTGCCTGCCTCAGGAGCATCCCATACCTGCCAAAAGGAAGAAAAAGAAGTGTAGGGGATGCTATTTTTTCCTTAAATCATTTCTTAACTTCTATTTCCATAGGCCTTGCTAGTTATTTTATGAGCTTGTTAATAATCCTAGTATTCTGCACACAGTAGGTGCTAATAAGTGTTTGTTGAATCACTCTTCCATAAGTTTAAACTAAGTCGAAACACAATCTCAATTTGTCCCTGGAATACTAAGAGGTAAAATGAACTTTCTTCTAATTTAGAGTGTTTCTAAGCTAGAATACTCTGTAGCACTTTAAATAGACACTGTCTTTCTCCCATTATTGAAACAGGTCATGAGTCCCACCTCCATCTATAACACTTTAAATAGACACTGTCTTTTTCCCATCATTCAAACAGGTTATGACTCCCACCTCTATCAAGCTGAATCAAAGAATTGTTGGAAAAGGAGGGATTGGCTCTTCT